TGATATGATCATGAGTCTTACAGGGCCAGGTAGTGGAATGTGATGGTTAGACTGGATAATGTTCCTCCATAGGCTCGTGTACTTAAAGACTTGGTGCCCAGCTGGTCATACTATTTGGGAAGGTGGTGTAGCCTTGCTAGGGGAAATACATCATGGGCGAGGCCTGAGTTAACTGCCTTGCCCTAGTTCCAATTTGCTCTACTTTGTGTTTGAAAATCTGAGCTTCCTGCGCCTGCTGCCATGCATGCTGCATGCTGCTTGCTGCCATGCTTACCTTCAATCCCCAGTCTCCCACATCTGTCAGGTTGGACTCTTATTCCTCTAGAACAGTGAGCCATAATAAACTTCCATACATTGCTTATGTTATCACTGAATCATAAAAGTAACTAATAGAACATCTTAGCATCTTGAAAGAAAGGATCCCTAATTAGGCAGACAGAAGTAGGAAATTTGTCCAACAGGAGCCACAAGTCAGCGAGTGAGCGTGGTGGCAGGTTCTATAAGCTACAGACTGATAAGACATCTAGACCAGAGATGCCTTAGTTGCCATGGAGACCACAAATGCTATGCAAGTGAAGCAAGCACCTGTTGTGGGATGGTGAGTAGTTGGTGTCCTAGATAGGAAGGCCATTACATGACCCGTAAGTCTCTGGTTATGCCTTCCTGATCTTGGGGTCCCTAACAAAGTTGATGAGCACCTCCATTAAGGTTATCACTTGACTAGTGAAGCAGAAAATCTGTGCACCAGCCATTGTAAAAGGGAAACCCAGACCCCTGCATCCAGGGTTCCCCACAGAGCAGGTCATCTTTGCACAGACATTTTACTTAGTGAGTCATTTTGCTGTTGACAGGCTTCTATCATTTATCTCTACCCAGGATAGAGCAACTCTCAGTGGAAGACTCGCTTTTTAATTCTTTAGAGTGAACTTGGGAGCCAATGGTTTGACTGGATAGTTGGAGGAAGGAGAGCAGAGGGTGACTATGCCTTGGTGTGGTGCCACCGGTATGAATGACATAACAGAGGACCCTCAGACCTTGCAAAGTGAAATGCAAAAGATGCTACCTAATAACCATGTGGACGTGATGCTCACAATGCAGACATAGGCTAATAATTTTCTCTACTCATCTGGATGCATGGCTCAGTGGATTCAAGATGAAACAAAACACCCACCAGGCCGCAGTTGCAGAAAGGATACCCAGTCTGAGCTAGACCACAGGGCCTGCCCTCACCAGGGTTAATGATATGGTTCTCTGTAGGAACCAGACAGCTACTTGTGGAAAGCTGATTACAATAGACATTTTTATAACAGAAGCAGGGAGTGATTTGTCCTCACTGAAAAAGCCACTCTTGCTGGACACAGATTATTCATGGCCCTTCACTGGCCTCATCAGAGGCTCCTAGACAGCCATGGCATCTCCCAGATGCCACCTAGAACTTCCCAGTGACTGGCTCACTTCCAAGCCTGGAGACACACCCTGGTGCTGCCATGATACCCTGCAGGGGCACATGCTGTGAACCTGTGACTCATGTCACCCGGGGATGCTAAGCCACAGCCGGAAACCATGGGTAAACATAGAAGCAGCTACTCTCTTACTCTACAGCACACTTGCAAAACGTTTTCCTCCCAGAAGCACTGCTCTGTCGAAACTGAATTTTATCTCCAAGGGAAGTCCTTCCATGGGACATCGAAGCTCCAGCCACAGAGTCAGACAAAGCCAGAGCTAGTCATTTCAGCCTCCTCTTGCTTCAGGGAAATGAGCACCCATGGGAATTGTGGGTGGCCTTTGTGGTCACTGATACTGAGGATACTCAGTAGGAATCAGGGCAGCCTACATCTATCTTTCTTCTCTTCATTTGCCTTACTCCAAACTACTGTACGTGCTTTTTTCCTTTGCTCTCTCTGATTTTAATCTTTAATTTTTTATTCATCTTTAGGTTTTTGCTGAACAGCTCAGGCTAATCTGGAAATCACATCGAGGCCCAAGCTAACTTGGCTTCCTGAGATTACAGACTTGCACCACCACATAGGCCTAGCCATCCTTCCCTTCCAAAGCACAAACCAGGACCCAGGCTGAGAGGTAAAGGTATCTGCTGCCAAGCCTGACCACAAGTTTGATCTCCAAGACTCATGTGGTGAAAAGGGAGACTGGACTCATACAAGGTGTCCTTTGTCCGCCATATACACCCTATGGGACATTTGTGCCCACAGATGCACACACACACACACACACACACACACACACACACATACACATGTAAAGAGGTTTTGCTTTTGTTTTTTGTTTTGTTTTTCTAGACAGGATTTCTCTGTGTAGCCCTAGCTGTCCCTGAACTCGCTCTGTAGACCAGAGTGTCCTCAAGCTCAGCTCCACCTGCCTCTGCCTTTGTCTCTGCTTCCCAAGTGCTGGAAATAAAGGGGTGTCCTATCATGCCCAGCTTTGTTGTTATTGTTCTTAATTGGAAAACAAACTAGAACCCACCACTTTCCAATTGACAATGTCTCTATATTGTACTCAGAACCCCAGGTCCTCAGGACACGAGAGCCTTTCACTTAGCCACTACCTCTGACCACAGCGCCCTCTTCTGTCCATGTTTCCTGAGCTCAGTCACTCTGGTCTCCTTGTTGAACCTCAGCGGAGCATCTGCTGCTGCTCCAGGGGACCTCACTACCTCTCCCTCATTGCCCAGGTCACTCCTGCCCCTTCCTGTTCTCCACCACCCCTCCTCATTTCCTCACAAGCATCACTAGTGACATAGGAAATCCTACCAGGAAGACATTCAAATGCTGGAGTGTATAGTACCCCTCTGTATCCAAGGGCCCTTTGGATGACAAGCTCCTCTGTGGATACTCAAGCCCCTTTACTTAAAATAGCAACCTTAGTACATAACATACACCATCCTCTTGAGTACTTGAAATCATCTCTAGATGGCTCACAAAACTAGTACAGTGTAAGTAGCATGTGCACATTTGTTCAGGTGACTAGGTTATGAAAAGGCTGGGGCTGGAGCATGTGGCATGTGTGAGACCCTGGGTTCATGCTCAAGGGAGAGGAGCCTGGGCATGTTCAATGAAGATAGAACTCTTCTCGATATTTCCAGTGGGCTAACTCTGTAAATGGTGTAGGTACAGCACTGTGAGGTGACATGGTTTGGCCACCTTTCTGTCTTCTGCGTGGTGTCCCTGTCCTAATAAATAGTTCCCTGCTAATCATTCTCTCCCAGAGCTTTAAGGGATGGAGGGGCTCTGTCCTGTTCACTGCTCTCTCACACATAGCAGATGCTCACTACAGAGGGAGACAGGGAGGATGAGCAGACAAGGGAGGACCCTGTCAGGACCAATCTGTTCCTGATACCACTGGCTGCTATTCTGGGAGCGAGGCCTACCCTTCTCCTGTACTAACACTGATGGCAGGGGACTAAACACCTGCACAAATCCAGAGGTGAGTGGGGGCTGGACTCCCCCCCACTGTCCCGCCACCTACCATGAACAGGCCACTGAGCTCAAGCAGCTGGGGATTCCATCCTGGGAGCCTGCCTCTTACAAGTACAACAGGGGAGCAGGGCAGGCTAGTCTTTCCCCTTCTCCTGGTGGTACCACGTTCAACCTTCTGTAACACTGCTTCTTGTTCAGTGACTACGAGGAGCCATCCTAATATCATTGATGTTTTCCCTGGGAGTACTCAACATCTTCCTAACTCATCCCTTCCCCCCTTTTTTTCTTTTCTTTTTTTCTTCTTTTTTTGTCTTTCTAGATAAGACTTCTCTGTATAGCCCTGGCTGTCATAGAACTAGTCTATAGATCAGGCTATAAACTTAAAGATCTGTCTTTAAGTTTAAGTTTAAGTTTAAGTGCTGGGGTTAAAGGTATGTACCACCATACCATCTTTTTTTTTCCTTCCAATTCAGAGTCTCATGTAGCCCAAGTTAGCCCCAAACTCGCTATGTACCCGAGGAGGACTTTGAACTTCTGCTTTTCGTGCTTCCATCTCCCAAGTGCTGAGAATCCTGGCATGTGCCACTCTGCACCGTTTTATATTAGGGCCTGAGCTCAGGGCTTTGTGAATGCTGGGCCAGCACACCACCAAATGAATGACATATTTGTCATGCACCCCAGCACCCTTTTTTGTTTGTTTGTTTGTTTGAGACAAGGTTTCTCTGTGTAGCCCTGGCTGTCCTGGAACTCACTCTGTAGACCAGGCTGGCCTCAAACTCAGAAATCCACCTGCCTCTGCCTCCCAAGTGGGGAGATTAAAGGCATGCACCACCACTGCCCGGTGTCTGTTTTCTTTTAAAAATTAAAAAGAAAGTTACATAAATCACAAAGCAGGCTTCTTGGCTGTATGTGGAGGCTGAGGAGAAACCTTCTCCATTCCTAACAACCTAGTGTTTTCCATGTGTTTCTGGTCTTTGTTGGTATCTGAGCACGTGCAGGCACGATAGCAATCGGTACAATCACTGAAGCACTTTTGACTGAGCTGAACCCCCAGATGATGATGACATCCTTGCTCCAGACCCCTAATTGTGACCTAGATGGAAACACAGTCTTTTCAGGTAGCAAGTTAAGAGGAGGGCCTTGGGGCGGGGAGGGGGCCCACTTTAGTGAGACTGGTGTCCTTACAAAAAGGAGCCACATAGGTTTGAAGCAGGGTGGATGCCACAGAGTGTGCAGGTGGAGACAGGCTGCACAGGCCAGCCAGGCAGCCCTGAGGCTGGCAGAAGCTAGAAGAGGTCCAGCACTGCGTTCCTGCAGCCTGAAAACAACAAACAAAAACACCCTCTACACCAGAACCTTAGGTCTCTAGCCTTGTAGTCGGTTTACAGTGCATGGCTCTGCAGCAACTCAGTATAGGTGGAGACTGGAAAGGCATTTGAAATCCAGAGTAACTCAGATAACAACTGCCGCACTGCCCTGGCCGCAAGATAGGAAAAGTGCAGAATCCCCTGGTGCCTCCAGCTCCCTGGTCCCAGAGAAAAGACTCCAGGAAGCCCCAAGACTCACCATTGGATGTTTTCATCTGCCGTCGACGCCCCACGCGGTCCAGCCCGATGGGAGTGCTCTGGGAGAAGGTGAAGGGCCGGAGGCGGGCAGACACAGCCTTGTAGGGTGGAACTTGGTGTGCAGGCACAGGAGGCCTGGCTGCTGGCTGTGAAAGGAAGTGAGAAGCTGTGAGAAGGTGCCAGGAAGTCTCAGCTCCTGCGAGCCACAAAACATTTCTGTGTTCTCGCCCTGAAGCCACTGGCAGATGTGGAGTGTCTTCTTCAAACCCCGCCCGCAGTTGCAAGCTGTACCAAGATCAGTGGCAACAGGCTGTTCCCAAGTTCCAACAGCAGCCTCAAAGCTGGCTCTGTCACACTTCTTCCCACTTGTGAGAGACATGCCGGTGGGGAACAGAGAGAGAAGGAGAGGCCTCTGAGGGAGAGGAAGGCTGAGGCAGCAGCAGAGTTGTGAGTGACAGTTAGGAAAATACTGTGACCACAGTAGCATCTGAGGATGCAAGGGCTGGACCGCAGCACACAGGCACAGTCACAGATCTTCAGCCACTTTGCTTTTATTTAAAAAGAATTTATTTGGAGTGCTGGAGAGATGGCTCAAGAGTTAAGAGTGCTGGCTGTTCTACCAGAGGACCTAGATTAAATTCCTAGGACCCACATGGCAGCTCGCAACTATCTGTAACTCCAGTACTAGGGGATCTGACACCCTCACACAGACATACATGCAGGCAAAATACCAATGCACATAAA